TCAGTTGACATATATTATGATTTTAGTAATTTGTTTTTTTCCATTTACATTTGCTCTTTAATAGAAGAAGGATTAACCACAAAAAACCCAAAACAAACAAACAAACAAAAAAACTTGGCTGGTGTGTGTGTGTATGTGTGTATGTGTGTGTATTTCTCCCCCTTCTTTCTTTTCTCCTTCCCCTCATCTCACATATATGTCCAAGGTGAGTCCTGAGCCCTTTTCTCTCATAGCTTTGGTAAGTTTCCCTGGTAGGTTTTCTGATGAGTTTGTATGTATTTGTTGTCTGCATATCTTAGGTCATTTTTGAGAGATCAAATTTTTGTTCAAACTGTCCTTGAAAATATTGCTATTCAGGGATAGTTTTGCATAAGGTGAAACCCAGCAGCTCTCCTCTATGACTCCTCTTTCTGCACAGGAAATGTGTAAATTACTGAATAAGAGGAAAATCTGTCAAATCAATATATGTGCTTCATAAACAAATGACAAAATAAGCCCTCCACCCAGAAAAAAAATAGTAACATGACTGACGGACAAGGCGATGCCGATGCAGGCACTTGTGGAGAAGTTCCACATCCAGCACGTGAGCAGACGTCGGTACTGGAGAGGATGTGGTGATGCCAGAGATGCGGGCGTGTGTGGAAATATTTTATTCATTACCTTTGTAGAAAAAAGTTTGTCAGTTTGTAGAATAAAATCCTCAAAACATGCTTACCCTTTAGCATAGTAATTCAGCTGTTGGGGATTTAACTGAGAGAGGAAAAAAGTAAGAAGAAGACTAGTTACAATAATTTTAAAACATGAGCAAACTGTGACAGTTTTTATATTATCTGTAATATACATACTATTCTTTTTTATATTATCTATTCTTTTATTTATCCCAGGAGCTCTTCTTTTTATATTATCTGTGAGCGCAAACTGGCTGGAGATGGTGGGGAAATGGGCGAGTTAAGATACAGTTGTTAAAGTGGATGAATATGAAGGTTGTGTGAAATCTTCCATTGAATAACCTGTCTTACTTTTCTTTTGGACTACAAGGGTGGCGGAGCCAAGGTAGAGTCTCAGGTTTGGGCTTGCTGTAGACCTTTTCTGGTCTCTGTACTTTAAGACAAGTGCCACCACCACCACCACCACATCACCACCACCGCCGTAACCACTCCCCTCACCCACAGAAAAAAAAAGTTTTCTTGACTTTATGTGCTTCTTATACTTTCCTTTTTATTTTTGTTTCCTGTTTTATTCTCATTATTTAATCACTGTTTTTTGTAGGCCTTGTTATAATGGGATAAATAAAAATGGGAAAGATGCCAAACCAAAGTTAAAATTATATTGGAAGTTACGGCTGTATGCCTGTAATCCCAGCACTGAGGAGGCTGAAAACAGGAGGATCACTATGAGTTTGAACTGTGTAGTGAGACCCTATACCAAATATATAAATGAAGAAAACAACCCAAACAAACAAATAAAAAAAGAAAATTATGGCTGCAGCTGGACAATGACTGAAAAGAATATTCAATTTAAAAATGGTCTAACTTGTTGGCATATCTGTATTTTGGGAAGTGTCTTAATCCTTTTTTCAGGATTGTGTTATGCTGCCTTAGCATTACAGTTGGCCTTCCATATCTTTGAGTTCTTCATCCATGTATTCAGCTCATGTTAGGATTGAACATGTTTGAAAACATTCGTGTCTCTACTTGTTGTGGTCAAGGTTTAAGAGGGAAAATATTTCCTAGAGGGCACAAAATTTATGGGATTGTCTTATAATAGTCACCAAAAGAAGTCAGTGCTGGAGATCTGTCTGTGCATCAGTGAATCTAGCTGAGGGCCTGGATCTCACAGCACAAGTCCAGCTGAAGACCTAGATCCCATGACAGTCTCCTCCACGAGTCCATCTGAAGACCTAGATCCCATGACATTGTCCTCTATGAGTCCAACTGCAGGCCTAGAACCCATGACAATATCTCATGCAAGTCTGTATCAAGGATCTGCACTGAAAAGCCCAAAGGTCAGTAGTGGAAGTGAGAAAGTCTATGCCAGTGGGATGAAGGATTTGTGCCAGCAAGCTGAGGGATCTGCACTGGAGCCAGGAAGCGATGCTCAAAGTAAGGACCAGAGCTCTCCCACAGAGAACTGCAGCCATCCTCAGTGACAGCAAGGACATGAGCTCTTCTGTTAACAGCTGAGTTCAGATCAGGAAAACCAGCATGGTGGGCTTCTCCCAAGGAATCAGCAGCAACCCTGTTCCCTTCTGTCAGTGTGCTTGGGGGCCCACTGGAGATTTTTGTGGGTGAGGCACCGAGGTTAGAGAGTCATGTGCAAGACATTAGCAGTAATAGCAAGCATCATGGGCAGAGCAGAAGAGGAGAGCAAGAGCTGCCCGTGTCTTTATTGTGTAATTCTTATACAGGTTGCTATCTCATGTTTACATTCTTACATAGTGTCGTAACAGGGATATGAGTGTTTACCTGTGCTAAGTCATGGTTACAGAGCTGTATCTCACTGTGTGCCTGCACTAGACAAACAGGGTCATACCCTCAGGTGTCCTCAGATAAATAATTATTAATCTCATAAAAACCAAGATTTTCACTACCTGAAAAGAAATACAAACAGAAGTTAAACTAAAACTTGCAATTCTAAATGAATTTTAACTGTCAGCGTGAACATATTTGGTTTCCTTCCTTCCACTGAAAAAGGGCAGAGGTAGCAGAGATAGTGTCCTCCCAAAGGTGTCCTTTGATGTATTTGAATTCATTGTTGTTATCCTTGGACAATGGGAGAAGCTTGTTATAATTGTTTCCTGAGTTCCTGGGATGTGCACCCCAGAATCTTTGGCAGCTTCCCTTGGGTATGAAAGGATGTGTGGGCCCATCATGTGCATTCCTGCCCCAGGTTTGCAGTCATCATGTGGGCTTGAATGTGTACCAGAGTTACCTGGAGGACTTGTTAAAACACAGACTGACGGGTCTGGCTGCCTCAGAGGTTTGATTTAGCATGCCTGGGTGCGGCCAGGTTGGTTGTCAGCTGCAGCTGGTTGTCAGCTGAGCTTAGTATTGCTGTTTTAGAGCCTTCACTTTGAGAACTTCTGCTTTAGAGGACCCTGATCTTCAGGTAGGAAATAGAGTTAGAAATCACGGTGTGGTACCTGGGAGGACACTACCTCTGCTACCTCTGACCTTTTTCAGTGGGAAGAAACAAAATATGTTCATGTTAACAGTTAAAATTCATTTATAATTATAAGTTTTAGTTTAACTTCTGTTTATATTCTTTTCACGTACTTAAAATCTTGGTTCTTATGAGATTAATAATTATTTGCCTAATATACATTATGTACATGCAGTTTCAGTATAACAGCACTAATATTAATAGTTTAAACATGATTACTGAAAGTGGGTTAAGATTTTTTACAGTCCCTTTTTAATATAAATATTTCACTAGGAATTTATAGATTACTCTGCATTCATGTTATTGAAATAATTCCTCTGCACAACCAATCAGCTTGATAGAAAGATTCATTTGTTTGCTTTGCTTTCAGTGTTTTTTCAAAATGTATTTTAGGGAAGGGCCTACAGGATGTTCAGGGTCTCACTACTAGATCGGACTCATAGTGCTCTGCCTGTTTATAGCCTCCCAAAAGCTGGGATTACAGGCATGCGCCACCACGCCCAGTCTCAGTTGCTGTCTCAGTGTGCCCCTAGGACAGGGCTGGCACGGCATGCCAGGGGATCGAACCCCCGGCCCCTGTGCCTGCTTGCAGGTGCTTTAATCTGCTGAGCTATTTGGCTGGCCCTTGCTTTCAGTTTTAGGCCACTTTCATTTTGGAGATAATTATATGAGCATTTAAATGGTCTCAGTGTCATGTCTATAAAATAAATTGTAGCCTTTTTTGTTGTTTTATCCTTTTGAAACAGGGTCTCACTGTGTAGTTCAGTCTGGTCTTGAACTCACTACAAAGCCTTGACTGGTCTCAAACTGTTGGCAGTCTGCCTGCCTCAGCACCTCAAGTGCTGGGATGACTGGCGTGTGCCACCATGCCCAGCATGTGGCCCCTATTTCTACTGCTTCTGCCTTGCTCTGCCTTGTATTTTATAGGCACATCATTTAATTTATTCTGTAGTTAAATCAATGACAGTGTGCTATACATATTTACTTCTCATGGGCTCCCGTTCCTCCCCCAACTTAATATATTCTGGACGTTACCGTAGGGCAGCATATTTGTAGAGAGTCCTCATTTCTTTTCCTTCCTAGCTTGAGAGTGCTGCATCGTGAGAATGTGCCGTCCTTCCTGCCTCTATTTGTGGACATTTGGTTTGGGAACAGCCCTGTGCTATTATGAGCTATGCTTGAGGATTGCAAAGAATATATATTTTAAGGCAGTCACACTCATATAGTGTGGTGTTTTTTCATGCCTTAACATTATAACATGAACATTCTGTGCCATATAAATACTTTGTAAATGTTATTAGGATATTTTCTGATAATTAATGTACGATTACTTGAGAATTTTAGAAACTCAGAGGAAAAAAACAGGTAAAAATAAACCATACTGACTACTTAGGGATACTTACTATTTTGATGTGTTCCCTCAGAGCCTTAAAACATTTGTACAAACATCCAGCAGGCAGTCAGTACATACATTTTGGTATCTTGGTTTGTTTTTACTCATAATTGTGCTTTTTGAAAAAATACCATACTCTAAAATTTTTTGTTATTTCTCGGTTGTTGGCCATGTCTCTGATTTTTCAGCATATAAGTAAATGTATGCATAACATTTTTTCCAAATTTCACATATTTTTAAAGTTGGTTTCTGTACCACTCTAAATGGGAAGCAAATGTGTATTTGTTGAATGTATCTTTAGCTTGTCTTCTAGCAGTAAGTGGGCAAGCCAAAAATGTAAGAGATTGTACATTGTGCTGCCGAAATGAACACAGACATATAAGAGATTGTGACTTCGAAATTTTGGTTAAATGAATTCAATTTTTTTTTCTTTTGCTTCTGATAGGACCTAAGAAATGAGGTTGAAAAATTACGCAATGAAGTAAATGAACGAGAGAAAGCAATGGAGAATCTTTTGAGTGAAAGCAATAAAAAACTGCATAATCAAGAGCAAGTGATCAAACATCTGACAGAAAGTGCCAATCAGAAGGACTTGTTGCTTCAGGTACTGTAACTTATTTTTTCTTTTGTATTTAAATATTTTGATTTCACCCCCACCCCCCTTTGCAGGAAGAGCTGGGATCTTAGCCTTCGTTGCTCTGATCCTGAGCACTTCAAGTTTTCCAAGTGCTACTGCTGCACGCGCCGTCCGTGCCTTATTGGGACATGCCCCTTCTCTCCTCTCTACCACTCTGCCCATTCCTTTCAGTTTGGAATAACTTTCTTGTTTGGCATGGCATGAATTCTTGAGATTGTGCTCAGACACAAGTAAGTGTGATGGACTGAACCTAGGTATTCATTTCTGCTTCCTGTGGAAAGCCTCAAGGAGCTACAGCAGCAGGTGTGAGTGGCAGCTCGGTGTTGGCTAAGTGGATGAGCAGTGGTCACTTGGTGGGCTTCAGCTCTTGGCATTCTGCTACAGATTTGGGGACGAAAAGCCAACAAGAAACAAACTGATTCTGATACAGCTACAGAAAGGCTCTGGAAGTTTTGGGTGTAACCTGATACCTTTGAAAAGAGGTGGTGTAGGGGAATCTTAAGCAGGCAGAGGCGATGCTCTTCTATCCCCCAAGCAAGAGATCTCCAGAGACCTTACATCATAGAAGCTCTAGCCTAGAGGTCACCAGATGCAAGTGGAAGCAAGAGTGTGTCACTTGAATAAAAGCGGGGAGGGAGAAGAAATGTGCCTAGTAAGATTTTTCCCAGGAGACAAAAAGTCTGAAAGGTGCTGGGAGTGGAGAATCCTCCGCCCAAACAGCCTGCTGCCCTCCGGAACATCTCACAGTGAGGCCTCTGTTGCCCTGGTCTTTTCATACCCAGTGCTTTTGAGTGCCTTCCACCCTTGAAGGTGGATAGATTGCCCGAGTTCCTCACACAGGAGAAAAATGTTTAACATTATATATCATAGACAAAGGCCCAAACAGACAGGACAAAGGTTCACCGAGGAAATAGAAACCATGCAAAATTAGATAGCTTTTAAAAAATCCAAAAAACTCAAAACTATAGCATCATAAGATAAGAAATAAGATCAGGATCTGATTTTAAAAGATACCTACAAAAGAGAAACGACCTATTGGGAATTCAAAGTGTGCTTGTAGGTATAAGGTGATTAGTAGAAGTGTTAGAAGATGAAAGTTGGGTAAGTCTCCCAGAAATAGAATGAAATACACAAAAGATGGGAACAAAGGAGAGGAAACACAGGGAAGCTGTGGGCTTGGTTCAGGCACTCCTAAATATGATAGCAGGAACTTGAGGAGGACAGAACAGGGAGGGCAGAGGGAAGAGGCATTTCCAGGTAGTGAGTCTGTTTCCCGAAGTGGAAGGATGGCTGTTCCTGCACAGCGCGGGCCTGCTCTGTCTCTAGCACAGGGAGTAAAGGAAGACACACGCAGCTCGGCAGGTCACTAGAATTTCAGAGTGCAGGAACAAGCAGATCTGTAGGGCTTCCAGGGAGAGGGCTGTGCAGGCCACATACTGCACAAAGACCCGGACTTGCTATGACATCAGCATGTGGAGAAGCAACAACAGACACAGAAGACAGGATCAGCCCATTAGGACTCTTGAGGGAAGGTGCTTCTCAGTCAAGCATTCTGTCCCCAGCCAAGCTGTCAGTAAGAGTGAGGGCAGGTGAAAGACATCGCCGGTGTTCAGTATCTGCCATTTCTCTCCCACGTGCTCTTGTAGGGATCTCTGGGAGAGTGAATAAGCACAGAGAGAAGAGAGGTGGGGACTCAGGACATGGGAATTCCCCTCGGGGGTGGCAAAGGGAGATCCTAGAGTGAAGCGAGCCACTCATGTGGAGAGCCTAGATTTGGGCCGTGGAGGGAGGGCGTCAGCTGGGACAGATCCAAGAAAATAAAATGGAACTGCTGGGTGATCTGATGCATTATTTGATTTTTCTTTTCCTTTTTTTTTTTTTTTTTTTTTTTTTTTTTTTTTTTTTTTTTTTTTTTGAGACAGGGTTTTGCTGTGTAGTTCAAGCTGCCTTGAACTCACTGTGTAGCCCAGACTGGCCTCGAACTCACAGCGATCCTCTTGCCTCAGCCAAGTGCTAGAATTACAGGCATGTGCCACCACGCCTGGTTACCCAATGTGTTTTAAGTTGTTTTACAGAGTATAGAGATAAACTTATATTTGGTACATAACTGAATTTTATAAAACAAGTAAACAGGATAAAACATTTACCAATTCCAAGAAAGCAAAGAATTAAACATGAATGGAAATGTAATAATGGAACACTGGCTAAGCAGCATTCACATGGCTATAAAAATATAAATGTGGGGCTAGGGAGATAGCTCAGTGGTCTGAGTGCCAACCTGGCAAGCGCAAGGACCTGGGTTCAATCCCTGGTACTGCGTGCCATGCCAGCCCAGTGCTGTGCTGGCCACCGAAACTGGGCATGGTGGCTCACACCTGTAATCCTAGCCCCGGGGAGGCTGAGACAGAAGGATCACTATGAGTCTGAGCTGCATAGTGAGACCCTGTACCAAACAAATGAATAAATCTTAAAAAAAATATATAAATGTAGAATATTGATTTGACTAAAATTGTAGAATTGTGAAGAAAAGTGTTGAGGTGCAGGTGATATGAGAGCTAAATCTATAATATGGACCAGTAGATAAAGCCAAAACCTAGGACATTTGAGGGTAAGACTGTTCTATAGATGTGGGGAAGTAAATAGCTGAATGAATAAAAAATGGTAAGTTTTTTCTGGAAGTGGAACTTTGAGGTGAGTAATGGGGAGGTGGCCAGTTACTGTTTACCAGTTAAGCCTTGCATAGCACTGTTTGATAAACTATATGTGTGTAGTTGAACTTGTAAAAGTTGAAAATGCAAGTGTAATTCAGGCACAGCTGTACTAAGGCAATTCTAGAAGGTAGTGTTGGTGGACTCCTACTTCTTCCTATTACAGTTGAATGCGTTCTTACAAAGAGTGGCTTCTGTTTCTCTCTTCTTGAACTCACCTAACTTCTATGTGTTTGGCAAACTCAATCTTGCTAAGGGCTTGGGAGTGAGCTGTGGTTCCTGCCCTTGGTTTCCCATGGAAGGTGAACAGACCCGAGTTCAGGAGCCTCCCAGTTTTCAGTGGTTGGAATAGATTCTGTGCTTGAACTGAGCCGGAGACCAGAGACATGGTCTCCAGTCCTGTCACGTTGTTGGATCCAGATCTGCCCAAGGGTGGAGGTGGGGATTGTGTTGTATGCCATGAAGGGAGGGCCTTGGACCAGACACTTAGGCTGCATTCTCAATCTTGGCTTTTTCTTATGGAAGTCAGATCTGGTGTATGTAGACTATTCAAATTTTGTAAAATTTGCAGTGTCTCAAAAACTTGAGACTAAGACTTGGTTGGATTTTAATGCCCAAGCTCTCAGAATAGGAAAGCACAAAAGAGAACAGCCCTGAGATTGCACCCTTAGATGGACCCAGGGGGAGTCCACGTTCCCATGTTATCTTCCACACCGCTGAAGCGCAGTCACGGCTGGGGCAGGTGAGGAGGCTTTGTGGGGACTGCCACCATCCTCGACTGCCTTGCTGGAAGGCTGCTGCACTCTCAGTTGTACTAACATGCAAATAGAGTTACATTACAGTTTTGTAATTGCCTAATATTTTGGGATGATGGAAATTATTTAGGGGACCTCTGGGTATTGTCACAAAATAAAAAATCTTCCCTTACAGAGTTTTGGAAAATCTCTTAATACTTTTTTTCTTGATGAAAACTTTCCTATGATTTGTTTCATTTCCTTAGAAATTCAATGAAAAAGATTTGGAAGCAATCCAGCGGAACCGTTATTTAATGACTGCGGAGGATCTCGGGTTCAGCAGCGAAGGCGTAATAACAGAAAGGCGCTCTTCTCAGCAGTCAGCCGGCAGCCGACTCATCTTCTTGGAAGTAAGCTTGGCTGAAATTGGATGCTCACGTGCCAGTGTGTTCACATTCTGCTCTGAAACGTATCTGATAACTCTTTTGATCTAGCCGTCCTCAGATGCTTCCTTGTGATGACTGAGCTCACCACAGGTAGCGGGGGAGTTCTTCGTCTCGCCACCCTGCACGCTAGTATCCCTCAGCTCAGCCTTGGTGTTTGCCCTGCACGTGACACCGGGGAATCACAGCTTGTTAATAGAAGAGCCTCATATTTGCTCTGGCAAGGGCTTTCTCTCAGGAACTCTGTGGTCCCAGGTGGTGAGGATTTTCTGTTCCATTGGGCATGAAAAATGATACAACAGGTCCTTTGTCATCTAGCCCCAGATTATCTTTCACGACCAACAGAAGCTGATTTCTTGCAGATTCCTCCTTTGTGCCTTTGTCCGTGCTCTTCCATCTGCCTGCATGGCCTTTTCTTCCTTGTCTCTTTGCTGACCCCTGAGCATCTGTGTGGGAGCCACGTGAGTGTCCCTTTTCCGATGGGGCCTTCCCTGACCTGCTGCTCCACGGCACCTTCCCTTCCTCTGACTGGCATCACTTCACAGGCCCCTCCCTTGTCACACTTGCGCCTTGTTTTGGTGTTTGTGTCTCCTCAGCTGAGCCCCTATGTAGCAGTGAGGGCAGACCTGTAGGAATGGACCTGGCCTCCTCCCCAGTGCTCGGCCCAGTGCCTGCTTCTGCAGATGCTTGTTGACTGAAGGAATGAATAATGCAACCCTGCAGGCAGCTATGGGACAAAAAGACTTAACTGTAGGCCTAGTTCTAAAAGAATCCTTATTTTTAATTAAGTTCATATATGCAGAAGACCGAACACTCTTACATAAATTAGTCCCCTGAATGGTTGTGATTGTGACTTATGGTTCTGTGAAGAGCAATTTTCAAAACCATTCCCAACCATACAGCTTGGGCATCAGGCCTCAGAACAGACTTGGGCATAGGGCTGGGGTGGGAGCTGAAGGCCTGCTGAAGGTGGGATCTGTGGGGCAGTTCCCAGCGCTCAAGGTGGGGTCAGGCAGTGGCAGCGGGAGGAGTGGATGGGCTGGAGTTCATTTCTGACTGGTGTGGGAGTACTCTAGCAAGCAGGACTAGCCCTTCTGTTGCGTGTCAGCTCAGTATCACACCTGGTCCCGGCGCCAGCGACTGAACAGTTGGTGCTCTTTCTTAATTCTGACTGTTTGTATATTTGCATTTTGTTGATGCGAGAATGCCAGCAGGGGGTTAGTGCCACCTTGGGCGGGGCCTTGGATTTCTGTTAGCTTTGTTGTTTTATTTAGGTAACCTTGGGCAAGTCTGACAAACTTAAGTCTCAGAGGACTAATATATTTTGTAATTCTAACTTCCATTTATTTATTATATGATTTTGACCAGAGTTAGGTGGGCATCTTTGACGTACCTTAACTGGTAATAAAACAATGTGCTTGAAACTGATAGCAGCCCATCAGGGTTTTATTTATTTATTTATTTACAGGGCTATAGCTTACTAATCTGAATACATTTAGTGAAATGTTATTTTGAATCACATTTTAGTCATTAAAAAGTGTGTTGAAGAAAATGTTTATGAACTTATTGAGCAGGATATTTTTATATTTAATCTCACTGGTTCTATCATTTCTGCCGTTTCCTTTTAGTTCCTGTGCTGGGCGGTATCTGTACTTCTTTGTAACCATCAGCTGAAAGCTGCTCCACGGGTGGGTGTTGGAGCAATATATAGATCTTGGTGATGTTTACACTACTGTGAAAAATACTAACACATTTTAGTAACAGTTTTAATTCTGTCTGCAGGACTCACTGCAAAATAAGTACAAAGAATTACAAATGATCATAAGAATTATAAATGTCTAGGTGTCAATTTAACTGTTGCAGACTTACGCCCCTCCCCCAGTATGCTCTTCAGATTGTAATTCTTTGTAGAAAATGTAGATTTCTTCTGCTTTGCTCTGGGCCATTTGTGTTGATTTAGAATTCATCTTCTGCCCGTTTTTACAAGAAGCTTGGGGCTCTGATGATGTCTCTGAAGAGCCTGGTAGTTTGTTTTCCTTCTAATCATTGTGTGATCTTGAGAATTAATGCTAGATGATCAGGGAATTGAAGAAGAGAGAGTAAAACACACTGACCATAGCTGACTTGCTGAAAGCCCGAGATCTATGGCTTGGTTATTGACATGGTTGGGACGTTGCTGCTGACCTTTCCAAGCATTATAATAAACGGCTTTATTGCAGGACAGTGTCACAGCTACTGAAGTAGACACCTTCCGCATCCTAGGTCACTGAATTGCCCTGACTACCAAGAAGTGATCCACTAAGCATTCTCTTTGCACATCTGCTGCCTCTTGAGACTGCAGCCTGCACATGATATGTGTTTCTTTCACATCACTAAAGAAGTGAAGGCACAGTAGAATGTAAAAGGTGCTTTGGTGTCAGAGTGTTCGTCCTGCTTTTTATCAGCCCTGTGACCCTAGGCAAGTATGAGTCTCTGAAAAGCGCCTCCATACTCTGTAAAGTGGAAATCGGGTCCCTCTGGAAGGATTAGAAGTCACGTAAAGTGGACGAGTTAGCGTTCAATGGGGTGCAAGCTATAGCAGCCAGTGCTGCATAAGCTGCCTTGGAAGGGCATCTTAACTGGGAACACCCTGGGTGCTTTTGCAGAGCTGAGCAAGAGCCGAGCAGCCACACCTTGGGGAAGGTGACAGTGTGCTAGTCCCTAGACCGTGACAGCAGAGGCTATGGGCTCTTTCATGTGACGTAGCCCCTGTGCCTCGCAGATGTCTGGTGTTTCTGTCTGAATCTTGCAGCTTCTTGGAGAGAATTGTAGTGGTTTACTTGAGGTCAGGCCCTGGCTTACAAGAGACCTCTTTCCAGGACTTGGCCTTGGGGACAGCAGATGACAAGGCTGCACTCTGCTGTGGAGAGCTTAGAGCAATCACATGCCCACTACCTGTGCGGCAGGGACAGGTCTTCCCTGTGAGAGAGGCCTCCTGTCTCTGCCGTTTCCTGTCTGGAGGGGCTCAATGGAGGGGAAGGCTTGATGACCCGCTGGTTAAGCCAGGTGCCTCTGCTGCTTCCTCCGGGCAGCCTGGCCCTCTCCCTCTGTGCCGAGGAGATCTACTGGGCTGTCAGCTCTGCTGAGGAAGCCAAATGACTTCATTCTAATGGGGCCTGATTCAACGCAGGGGAATAGGTGATTGATGAAATGGGACCCAAACGGCTCCGAAGAGTTCATTTATTTAACAGGGGTGAGCAATTTGCTTCTAGGAAGACATTGACTCACTCTGACTTCCATTATGCAAAATAGCCACAGGAATCTCTGCCCTTAAGATTCATATCTCCCTGTGTTCCCCCTTACCTGTTTAATCCTCAGTTCTGCAAGTGTTTGTGGCAGCTTTTGATTCATGCCAGGCACTGTGCACAGACACTGTGCCAGGACACTGCTGCTGGCAAGGTCCTCAGACTGTTGGCCTGAGAGCTCTGGGGGCAAGGTGAACCTGTGTTCTGGAGGCTGGTGGAGGGCTGGGAGGTTTTCTGATAGATTTGGGCAGAGCAGACCCTGAGGGGTGCCTTGGAGTGTATCATTGGGGAGTGGTAAAGGATGGCACTTGGATTTTAAAGAGTAGGTAGGAGTCGCTGCCCTTCCTGGGACCCTGTGTGGTGGGGCCTCTCAGTGACTCAGAGATAAAAGGGTAGGAGAGGGGATTAGGACAGGATGCAGAGAGAGGTGGCCTGAAGACCCTGGTGACAGTTGGACTAGCTGCTAGGAAGGAGGGACAAGGGAACAGAGCTGTGTGCCCAGGCCCCCTCTGTGACAGTGGCGTTTCCCTCTCTAGGGCTTCGAGCCAGCCTCCTGAGATTCAGTCAGCATGCAGGGATTGGAAGCTCCAGGGATTGGAAGCACATGTACTCCACGTGCTACATTCCCAGAGTCTCTGTCATCTACCAGAAGTCTGCATTACTTGTCCTTTTTCCTAGCCTTGTCAGTTTTAAGTTACAAACACAAACTCTGGTTTTCCCACTTGTTAGCTGAGCTCTCTCAAGCATGTTAGCTCTGCTCCTAGAGAATCAGTTTCATAAACTGAAAAACAGGAAGGCTGATCTAGCCCCCTGCAATGTTGTGGTGCTAGATGCTACAGATGAGATTGGCAGAGGCCCTAGCATCGTACCTGGAGCATAGGACAGCTAGCATTTATCAGATGTTTACTCTACATCAGGCATTGTTCTGACAGCCTTATGCAGATTAACTCATTTAATTTTAACAATCCTATGAGGCGTATAGATTATCACCTTAATTTATAGGGGAGGTTATTGAAGCACAGAGTGGCTGAATACGTTTTTCAAGGTTACACAGTTAAGCAGGTCATTTACTTCTAACCGTCACTGCTTTTCATGGTAGGTGCTCAAGAAGGAGGTTGCGTTTTGTCTACTTGCTTTTCAGTAGGCTGGCTGTGAACTTCACTTGCAGTCCTCTGGCCTCAGCCTTCCAAGTGCTAGGATTGCAGGCAGGTACTACGCAGGCCCCACACCTGGCTGAGGAGTTCTTATTCTGTCACAGGCTTTTCCTGTCTTCTTTGGCTGGCCTTTGTGTGGCTGGCGTATTTACTTGTGTCAGTCACCCAGTGCTTGGCATCATTAGGGGAGAGTGAGCGGTGGGCGGAAGTGCACAGCTTGTGGCATGTGCCCCGCCTCCTGACGCTGACCTCTTGCATGGGGAGACAGTGGCTCCTCATCTGCTGTGAAGACCCTGGAGAGCACTTACTGTGGTGGCTGACGTACTGTTGACTTGGTCTTGTACCATCTTTTCGTTTTCAGGTTCTTCTGAGCCATGCTCTTCGGGATGCTCTGGCTGCGCAGGCGCTTGGGTGTGTGCTGGGAGCTGAGAGATCCCCACAGGCATGGTTCTCGTGTGCAGAGGCATCTGGGGCTCCTGTGCCGGTGGCATGTGGTGTGGCTCACACCAGGCCTGACAGTTCTAACAGTCTGAGTGACGAACTTGCCGGGAGCAGCCTGGTAGCTTAGCACTGAAGGCCCTCGCTGACGGGCGCTGCCGAGGCCCTGAAGTGAGAGCCTGAAGCACAGCAGGTCCCCCGGGTCGGGCTCTCGGCCTTTTTGTCCTCTCCCTCCTTTTGCTGCCTGACTCTAGTCAAGGATCCCTTGCCTGGAATCCTGTAAATGCACAAAATGGATGTGTGGGATTATGAAGGACGCTAAATTTAGTTTTCAAACTACAAAAACTTACATTGTAAAATGGTAGGGCAATGACGTAGTGACCATTATAGCTTTGAAGAGAGTGATAAGAATAAATGTATTGTGGTATTTTGTGGTGTCTGTGTTACATCTAAAATAAGTGTTTCTTTCGATGGCCAGGTCACCAGGATAATGCTAGTGCTGCGGTGGTTTATAGCAATGCCAGGTTTCCTTCAATTTGTTACTGAAAGGCCTACTAAATTTCTGCCAGAAGTTAACAGAAATGAAGATATATTTTCTTCTGTTCACATTCTTCTGTTTTTTGGGTACTGAGCATCAAACTCAGGACCTTGTGTTTACCAGGCAGGTGCAATGCTGCTGAGCTGTATTGCTTTTTGTTCACGTTCTTTTTATTTTTATTTTAAAAAGACAAAAACAATAAAAATGGTACAGAATTTGAAAACAAGATAGTAGGAAATTAACAATGGTTATCACGCTGCATATTGTTGTCTTCACAGTAGTTGCTCAGATTGTCAGGTACAGGTGTGCAAAACTGATCAAACAATATAAGCACTAACTCTTCCTTTTAATAACTGATAGAAATTAGTAGCACGATTACCTTAGCCATGCTGTGTGTATGTATGTATGCATGCATATATGTCTTTTTTCTCAACCTCCCCCTGCCCCCCAGTTGTTTGTGTTCTCCTTCTTGCAGTCTTTAGATTTTAGTTAGGTCGAGCACCCCTGGCCAAGCTGGTATCTTACTGTGAACTTTGCAGGCTGCTCTTAGTGCCCATTAGCAGTTTTCTCTCAGAATGTGGACAGCTCCTCGTTCCTGCTGGGTGCTGTGCTAGGTGTTCTGCATACATTAGCTTCAGTGTTTATTCTCTGTGTTGAAATAATTTCAAATTTACAGAAAAGTTACAGGAATGAAAGATTTTATTTTTTTCTGACTCATCTGAGAGAAAGTTCCAGTTAAAGCTCTGCCCTCGCCAAATACTTCAGGGGATACTTTCCCTTTAAATAAGGCCACTCAGCTTAGCCACTGCAACCAAGAAATTAGCCCAACAGAGCACTTCCTTCTAATCCTCAGACTTACTTGTGGTTTATCTCTTGTCTGAGTAATGCTCTTTGCCATGGACGAGTCGGCTCAGGATCGCACCTCACTGTTTCCAGTCTTGGTTCTTCAGTCTGTGGTCTGAGACAGTTCTTTAATTTTTCTTTGACAGTCACAACCTTGAAATCTTTTTTTTTTTCTTTTTCTTTTTTTGTGGAACCGGGGATTGAACTCAGGCCCTTGCACTTGCCAGGGAAGCACTTATTCCACTGAGCCATCTCCCCGGCTCCACTTGAAATCTTTGAAGTATTGGTATGTTGGTAGATGGATGCTCTTCAGTTTGGGCTTTCTGATCTCTCCTTGGCACTTAGATTCAGTCTGTATGTCTTAGACAGGAGCATCACAGTAGGGATGCTGTGTGCTTGTCTTCGTGTCTGGCCCAGTGGCCCATGATTCCACCTTGTCCCCTTGCTGTACTAGCCATCCTGACGTAGAAGAGTGTATCAAGGCAGTGTCTGTCATTCCCCCCCCCCTTTGTATTAAATAAGTATCTTGTGGGAAGTGTTTTGTGTTTGTATAAATCTGATCTTCAAGCTTTCACCCACTAGTTTTATCATCTTTTTATGTTTCTTGGCTCAATTATTTATTACCACGAGGGTTGCCAAATGGTAGTGCCTCTAATTCCATCATTCGTTCTACATTTATTAATTATCATTTTATTGTAAAGAAAAGCCAGTTCTTCTCATTTACTCAACTCATATCGTATGGATTCATGAATTTCTGTTTCATTCAGTGGGATATAATCCATCATTATCATTATTTTTATGTTCAAATTGTCCCACATTTGGCTGGTGGTAGCCTTTCAAACTGGCTTCTAAGTCATTTTGACAGTGTTCATTATTTATTTCATTTTTAGCTTTATTGAAGTATAATTGACAAATAAAAATTTTGTATTTTTTAGGGTGTACACTTGATATTTTGACATTACATACATTGTGAAATAATTGCCATAATCAAGCTAATTAATATATGTATTGCCTCACAGTAGTGCCAATTTGGGGGACACCTTCAAGATCGATCTCTTAGCAAATGTCAAGTGTACAGTACAATATTGTTCACTGTTGTTAGCATTCTGTACATCCTAACCCCAGAACCTACCTTGTGTAACTGAAACCTTATATCTGAAAAGTAACTCCCCCCTTTCTCCTTGCTCCAGCCCCTGGCAACTAGCACTGAGCTCTCTTTTATTTTTTATGTATTTAGTACAGGGTCTGCAGGGTCTCACTACACAGATCCGACTTGTAGTGATGCTCCTGTTTTCAGCCTCCTAAGCTCTGGGATTACAGGTGTGTACCACCATGCCCAGTCTCGGTTGCCATCTCGGTGCGCTCCCGGCGCTGAGCCAGCATGGCGCGCTGGGGATTGAACCCCAGTCCCTGAGCCTGCCGAAGCAGGAGTTTAGTCTGCTGAGCTCTGGCTGGCTCCTAGCACCAAAGGCTTTCAGCATTTCTTTATTTTCTAGCACAGCACAATGCTGGAATCATATCATCTGTTGTCTCTGATTTCCCTTGTCTCAGTACTGGAATCAGTGCCAGTGTCCCTTGTTTCCTAAGAGTACACAATTTCTTTTTCATGTACTTCATGACTGTATAAAGTGGAAGTTATTGTCCACTATTTATAGGTAAAAATGCTAAGGTTACCAGTAAGTAGCTATGCCAAACTAGTAAGTGGCAGGCTAAAATTTATCCTCAAAAAATGCCTCATAATTGTGAATATTCACAACCTATATCCCTGTTTCATACAAGTGGGACCAGACCTAAGGGGGCTGCTATCTTTGCTGCTTTCTGGATGCCCTCCAGGTGCCACTCACATGACTGCTGCTCTATTCTAGCACGTGCCTGATGGGGCCGCAATTGGTGTGCCTCTCTGCTGGGCAGCTTGAACCACTGTTGGTGCGTGGGTGAATGCTACAAGGAGGCTTCTGGCAGTGGGGGTACAAATGCATCTAATTGCTTTTATCAATCTTCTTACTAACGAAATTAATAAAAAGCTGCCAGGTAGGCTAGCCACGCGACTTGGGCCGGTGGTTCAAGCTGGTGGGACCAGGTTTCAGGTCCGACTCCAGGATTGGTTAGGTTTTAGTTAATGAATATCTTTTTTCTTCAGAGCAAGAGCAAATATGACAAGACATTTTCTTTGTATTGTTGTGAAAATAAGGATCAGTAGCTCTGAGGAGTGACAGTTTTACCTTAGGCAAGTAAGATGTCTGTGACTCACAGCAGCTGTTGGGTGTCGGAAGCATAGCTCTCAGCTTTGTGCTGGGTAAATGTGTTAGCTTCATGTTACTATAACAAAACGGTTGATGTAGCTGAGATAGAGAAAAGGCTCATCTTGGCTCACAGTTTGGAGGTTTCACTGTGAGGTTGCACAGCCCCATTTATTTGGGCCTCTCGGGAGGAGGTGCTGGGGGCAATGGCGGGGAGTAGGTAGGTAATAGAGCAAACTGCTCACCTCATGCCTGGGGAGCAGAAAAAGAACGAGGAGGGGCCTATTCTCAAGGACCAGCCCATAATGACCAAGGATGTACCACCAGGTCCCTCTTCTCAGAGTTTCTGTGCCTCTCTGCATTGCTGACCTGGGGACAAGTTCCTAACCAACCGGGGCCTTTGGGGACAGATGTTCTAGAGGCACACTGTCGGGGGGGGGGGGCATTCCCCACTCCTCCTGCAGGTGGTGCTGTAGGACTGTGTTCTGAGCCAGAGCCTGCCGGCCTCACCTCTGTGGCTTTAAAAACCAGACGTGCCGCGAATGTTTGATTAATATAGAGCTTCACTTTTAAGATTCATCCTCTAATGCCAGATGCCTTTGTTATTTCCAGGAAAAGCAACAGTCGGACTATGAAGAGCTAATGCAGGTCTTAAAGAAGGAACGGGACATCTATTCCCACCTGGTGAAGTCTCTGCAGAGCTCAGACAGGTAAGGGCTTCTGTTTGAACACGTGCATGGGATCCCGGGGCGAACTGGTGGCCTTTGAGCCAGCAGGGCCCTTCTAGGTTGCTTGGGACATTACAGTGTGCTTAGATGGTGATGGCCTTCCTTAGCATCAGGTTTTCCTGTTTTCTGCCAAGAATTGCCTCATTTTGGCAGCAGCATCAGGAGAAAACACAAGAGATTTTAAAGTACTTGATTGTCTACTTAGACGTGCTTCCATGTGCATTCTTGTATGCTCCTCAGTGCTGCTTTTAGAGGTGATAATGTTGGAGCTGTTTTACACAAGTCCATGCAACCTAAGGGAGCTGTAGGGACTTGTCTACGGTCACACAGATGTTGCCAGAACTCTGGTAACCAAGCATGGCCCTGTGCCTCGGAGTGCCCTGTGTCTGCAGAATGAACGAGATGCTGTGGTGCTGGCACTGTGCTGAGGAGAGTGAGGAGCAGGCCAGCGGTCTTGTCTGGCCCTGGCTCTGCCACTCACTGGCAGGTGGCCTGCTCCAACTTCTGTGTGCCCATCTATAAACGCAGGTATGACTTCAGGAATTTTTGACAAAAGAGAACAATAGGCCTTTCCACATTAGCTAGTTACAGTTGAAAGACAGGGTATGTAGGATTCATTTCAAAACAGCACAGAAGCTGAGGAAGTGGTGGACATAGCGAAGGAACAAGATCAGCCCCAGATGCCTGGGCTTTCGGCTGGGTTGGAGGTGGATGGGGGCAGGGCTCATCACATTAGTTTGCGCTTTTTTGTATATGTCCAGAATTTTCTATAATAAGCTAACCAACATCACCCTTCCCTTCACCTTTGTGTGTGCCCTCTGCAGGCTCTTCACGGTTCCCAGGGCCATGCTCCTGCCTCTGCCCTCACCTCTGTTTTCTTTCTACCCCCCTGGTTGACCTCCCCTGCTTTGTCTTACTGCCTCTTCAGAACTTGCCTCTGTGTCACTCTTGTGAGGAGGCTCAGCAGGCCCCGAGCCGCAGCCCTTCTGTATTTCTTCATTCCCCACCCCAGACCCTCTTGACCAACGACCATGTGTGGTCACTGTGCCTGCTCACCTCCTCCGGGAGCTCCCCTACTCTCAAGGGCTGTGTTGCTCAGCGCCCTTGGGAGATGCTTCGTGCAGAAGACCCCTCCCCAGCTTCAGGCTTCTAAACTATGAGATAATTTCCAGATTTTAAGATCTGAAATGAATTTGAGAAAATGAAAACATATTGATGCAATCCCGGGCATGGGCATCTCTCTTTGACAGTGAACTTTTTGAGGAAACCTCAGCTGCGGGCCATCTTCACTGGATAGGAGACGAGGTGTCACAGAGAGCTCCAAGAGGGCCTGGGCCAATTTTGCTTTAGTTGCGCAGCTTCTCTGGGAGGGAGCAGGGTAGATTCTGAGCCCCAGATCAGGTGCTGGGACTACGACTGTCAGGCTCTCTCAGCATCATGAATGCTTCCAAGTTCCACAGGTTCTTTCCTAAGGAATGGGAATGCAGATAAGGCTGAAATGGGTCAGAGCAGTAACCAACCAGGGTGCTTGAACCATTTCATGTTCCTCTGCAGACTTAGACTATGATAGGGAAAGGTGGCCTGGGTCTACATCCCAGCGGGGTCACTCAGCAGTTCTGAGCTCTTGTGCAAATAATTTCTGTGCCAAGCCTCAGTTTGTGGGGTTGGAAGTGCAGATTAGCTGGTCTGCCTACTGATCTCCCTGCTCCCTGCCCATCTGCTTCTCCACCTACCTGCCCACCAACCCACCCACTGCTCTTCGTACCCACCCACCTGCCTGTCAGCTTATCTAGCTGCCCGTTTCCCTACCTCTTCTCCCACTTACCTGCCTACTCACCACCCCTCTCCCTCCCTTACAGGATTGTTTGCATACAAGGGATGATACTGTGTGAATTCCAGCTCTGCCTGACCAGAGTGAGCACTCAGTGAATAGCAACATGTATTAAGCCGCCATGACATGCTCCTGTGTGCCTCCCTTTGCCATTATGTGTGCGCTTAGCTTGAGGGCTTTTGGATCCCCCGAGCCTGAAATATCCAGGGGGCAGAACTGTGGGCAAGGGCAGGCGGCGCCCAGCACTGGGAACTCTCCAAAAACTGGCAGGAAGGGAGGGTGACTGGAGACACAGATATTTGTGATTGAAATGGGAGTGAGAGGAAGGAAATGGTGAGCCTGAGCCCGAGCCTTTCCTTTCTATTCTCCATGGGAGCGCTTGGGAATCTGCAGCTTTATTGCACGATGTGTCCCTGAGATGGTAAGGGCAGCACTGTGAAAATGAATGGAGCTGCGTCTCTGGCTGTGGAGCCGCGCCCTCGCTGTGTGCCTCATCTCCAGGGCTCCGCTCCTTTGCACTTCCGGTCTCCCAGGTTGCCCTACCTCAGCAGTGCTATGGCTGTGGGCTGGAGTTTTATTGTTTTGGGTCTCTAGGGCTGTCCTGTGCATTAGAGGATGTTTAGCAAGTATCCCTGGCTTTACCCCATGCCAGTAGTACACCCACCTCTTCCTACCACAGTTGTGACAAGCGAAAATGTCATTAGACCTTGACAAATGTTCCCTAGGGGATAACATTGTCTCCAGATGAAACTTATGGTTGTAATTTGTGAAAAGCAGACATTTTGGCTTATAAATACCTTTTGTATGGGAGCTGTGGGGATGTGCGAAAGGGAGGAAAAGATGTCTGTGGATCAGCTACTACGTACGCTTGCGTGTTAGGCGCTGTGTGCCATGCGCTCTCTCGAGTCACATCCCATTCAGGGCTCAGAACAGTGTCCAAGGGCGGGGGTGGCACTGTCCTTCTCACAGATGAGACCATTTACCCGGCCACCGAGGTCAAGGAGCTGGTTAGACGCAGCAGGTCACTAGGAGCTTGGCTGTCTGTGTCACCTAGCTTTCCTCCCCCAACCCCTGCCTCCAGTCCAGAAAGAATACACAGGGCTTTTATTTTTTTCTGCATGAAGCACCTTTTGTTCCACCAATTCCTCACATCTTTATACGGTTCTGGAGTTGGGAAAACATAAATGACAGACACAGGAGCAGCAGCTGTGTCCTTTTCACCCTGTCAGGAAATGGAGGAGGGAGTATGGCAGTTAGCTTGCCCCAGCCCTAATCGCAGGAGCTTCGCTAAAACAATCTCTTTTTTTTCTGGTTAAATGTCTCGCAGCAGAGCCACATCCAAGCTGTGCTGTGCTGTGACACCTCGGGAAGTTTCCCATCAGCCGTACAAATTGATCATTATGATTGTCTTGAAATGGAACTAGGTACAAGATGCTAGTGGGCCCTTTTGCCTGCATGAAGGCAGCTTCACAATGAACCGTCCTCGAAGCAGCAGGCAGAGAAGATTAGACATAATGGTTTATTTTTATTCCAGGGTATGTTGATTTACGTGTATAGTTAGATGCGTGGAACTGGAGACAAAAACTCTCTGAAGGAAAGATGAGGCTTGAATGCCTGGTGCATGTATTCAGAGAACAGCTCCTAGCCATTTGGCAGCTCTCGATCCCTTTGGAAAAATGTGATAAAAGCTTTGGGCCCTCACTTAGGAAAATCCTTATAATTAATAAATTATTACAGATAGTTTCAGAGTGTTGGTGAGCCCTTTCATAGGTCAAACACTGGACAGAGAGCAATATATTCTCAGTGTGTAAAAAAGGAGGCTTTCTGGTTTGTTAAGGTGTTTCAGTGGCTTTAAAAATGTTCATATTCTTTGACCCACTAATGTCACTGTTAGGAATCTTTTTTAAGGAAATAACTTAATGTCAAATGTCAAACTATGTCACGGACCTGCACAGTCCGTAGAATAATCAGTAGATATTTGGCTATTTAAGATTAAGGTAACTTTATATTTCATAAAATGAAGCTGGTCCACGAAGCCGCATTACCGAGTGGCTTCTGTATGAATCCGTGAAGACACGAGGTGCTTCCATGACTGGAGGAAGTTCTGTTGGGTGGGCCTCCTCAGGAGTAATCCAGGCTCTGGGAGATGTGCGTGTTCGCGGCCTCTTCCGGGCTCTGGGCTTCCGGTTCTATGTAAGCTGTTCCTACTGCTCAGCAGTGTGTCACATTGATCTCGATGTGCGACTTGACCTTCTCCTTCCCCACCAAGAATAAAAATCCAGTCATACTGAGCGTTTCTAGGAGGCTAACCTACTGCATGGGAGTCTTTGGCCCCTAAATCTTTCCTTTTCTCTTTTAGCATTAACTCACTCTTCTTCCTTGGTTTTTGTTTTCCTCCTGTCCCTTACTCTTTCCCCCAGAATGACCTCTTTGATGGGAACACAACAGAGATCCTCTGTCTTTCTCTTTTGAAGTCCGGGGGCCAGGTAACTCCCCAGCCCTAGAGCCTGCTGCTCTGCACCCTCCTTCCTGTGGCGTTCGTTATTCCCAGCCGAGGTGCATCCTGGAGATTATTCCTACCTTGTTACCTTTAGCGAAAGCCGAGAAATGGCCAAATGTGCACTAGTGGTTATGGTAACTGGTGCCATATTCACCAGTTTTAATATTATATGATCATTAAAAATGATGTAAAGGATTTCTTGAAAGGTAGAGCAGCCCTGAAGCCAGGGATGCACTGTTCAGTATTGTGCACCCGTAGCTATTTCCACCGTGTGAAAATGCTTGTAAAGATTGAGGGGCAATATAGGCTGCTGTGTGTTAATTGGGGAGGGGCTCATTTTTGCTTTCTTTATACTTTTAAAAACAATTTCCATTTTCATTTATACTTATAATTTACTGCAATTATCATGTATTTATTTTATTTTATTTTATTTTTAGTGCCGGGGTTTGAACTCAGAACGCTATGCTTGCCCAGCAGGCACTATTCCTGGCCCTTGTATTTACTGTTATAACTAAAGAAAACTACACACACACACACACACACACACACACACACACACACACGCACACAGGTGACATAAAAATTGCAGAAAGGCTTGCTGGACTTTGCATCTTGAAGCACGAACAGGTCTGTTTGACACCGTCTGGTATCTTGTTTCACCAAGCGTCGACAGTCTGCATGCTGAGTTAAACGCCATTTTTGCCCTGCGGAAGCAACTGGAACGAGATGTGCTGTCCTATCGGAATTTACAGAAGATCCTGGAGGAGCAGATCAGTGAAATCCGGAGGCGGGAAGGTACACCTTACCTTCTATGTATCTTTCTATTTGGCTCTTTCCTTTGGAGAACATTGCTATAAGAGGAGTCAAGCAGCTGCAGACTTTCACCAGGACCTGTTTTTGTGGTTGCCATGTGCTGCTGCTGCTGCTGCTGCTGCTGCTGCTGCAGCATCCAGTGTGTCTGTCTGGAGCCTGGCGGATGGGTCCAGTCGATTATATTCATTCTGCAGAGGACCTTCTGCAGGCTTGCCTCTGGACTGCTTTCATTATCTTCTGGGTCCTTTGCCATCCTAGCATCAGGTGACCATGAGGACTTGCAGTTCTCTCCGTGTGCTCAACACCCCTCGTTGGCTGGGCCCTGCTTACCTTGCACCTGTTGCAGAGAGGCTCAGGCAGCATGGGCACTGGGTTGAGCTTGCTTTTTCCTGTCTAAACACCATTTCTAGTGTTTGGATATGTTTGGGAAGGCTGTTGGAAGAGCGTTCTTGGAAACCACAGTGTTGGGCTCATCATAGTGTGTATAGCCCTGTTCCTTGCCTGTCCCCTATGTTGAGGGATAATACTTAATTCTTTTCTGTATCTGGAGTTTGGAGCCTGGGACATTTGGTAAAAATTGGTAATTGTGGTGGGTTTGACATTTCTTGGGTTCATGCTGTCCGTGTACAAGGTAGAGTGCTGGGCTCTTTCCTTCTCAGCAATGATCCTTACAGTCATTTGATTGGGTAAAACATGTATTAATTTTCCTTTCAAAGATGGAGAAACTGAGCTGAAGGGGCTGGGTGACGGAATCTGTTCCGATCTCGCCAGGGTGTGCCCCCTTGGGCCTAGCGCTTTCTAGCTCCCACGCTGTATTGTAGGTGCCGTGGAGCTCACCCGTGCCTGTCCATCACGATGCGGTTGGGGATGTGCCCCACTCGCTGAGTGTCCTCCCTCCCCTGCTCCTCCCCTCGCTGCTGCAGTGTGCCATGTGCTGAGGAGGAGGTGGACTCCGACGTGTAGGTGACCGCGATTCTTGTCTTGGCTCCAGCAGGCACTTCTTGCACTTGGTGCGCTCACTTCCCACGAGGGCTCTGAAGCCCATGGAAATGCATCAGGCACTTTTATTTCCCTTGAGTTCTACCCTGGGGTCACATCTAATTTTCCTGTATTTTCGCCTAAGCAGAGTCACTTGCTCGTTTAAACTATCACTGTTTGTTTGTGCCATTCAGAATGGTCATCAGGCACAGCACTTGATATGCAAATTGTCATTCGGCACTGGCCACAGTGAAAACCTACAGCCTGAGATGAAACTGTATATTGAGATATCAGCCTAGAGAGCAGGAAAATTACTTCTGCTCCAAAGGTGGTGCTGTAAACCCCCAGTGTGTACTTCTCCTCCCGTCTGCCCCTCCCCATCCAAATTGCTGTAGATGAATTGCACGGGAGCTGTTTTCTTGGAGGGATCTCTTGCTGATACTCTTCTTTCTCCCCCTCCCCCACATTTTAAATTTAATTTAATTTAATTTTTATTTTATTTTGGGCAGAAGAACCATTTTCATTTTATAGTGATCAAACATCTTATCTAAGCATTTGCCTCGAAGAGCACAAACGGTTTCAAGTGGAGCATTTTTCTCAAGAAGAACTTAAGAGAAAGGTATTGAGCTGTTAACTTTTAGTGCTTTTATTTCTTATTTGTTGCCCCTTGGGTTCCTATGATGTGAGACTCAGAAAGTCCCTTTCCTCGCCTGTCTCCCCCTCCTGTCGTCCTGCTTGGCTCCTCCTGTGTGCACTGCTCAGGTCGGAGACCGCAGCCCTGGAAGACAAGCTCCAGGCCCCTCCGGGAGCAGGGAGCACCCTTCCATTCCCTCAGCTCCTTCCCTGTCCTCTCTGTGTGTTCCTCGCCAATGTCTTCTTCTACTGATCTGTGGTTATTGGGTTCTTTGTCTCTAGGTAGGCTATGAACATCTTCAAATGAGTGCTCATAGCTTACGTAATTACTTCTGATTTCCCAGTACCTCTCTCACACAGTAGGAGTTAATAAAAAGTTTGGATGATTAGAGCTCCAAGTTTGGTCATTACATCATGTTTTTGTAAATTACGAAGGTTTTTATTTCCATCTGTCCATTCAGGGGCGTGGTTAATGTTGCATGCTACAAGCCATTGTTAAAAATCAGACATGTGGGCACAGAGGAGCCGCGTGATTTACTGTAGGCTCATCTTAAATCAGGAATGGAGGTTTGGTTTCTTTTGTGGAATCATTGACTTCTTGGCAGAGAAAACGGACACGCAAACAAGCAGTTAGGCTGCCGTGCGAGCCAGCGTACAAGGCATGGAGATAGCAAGGAGAGGCCACGGTAATTGTCCTTTACTTGGCCAGGGCAAGCGTCTGAACGGAAGTAAGCCCTTGAAGTGGGTTTTGAAAGATGGATAGGAGTTTGCCCAGGTGGAAGGTTTCCTCAGTAGAGAGAAAGAAGTCTGTTAAGGCTCAGAAGAAGTAACAAGGAGAGTTGTAAAAATTAGGGTAGTAGCCTAACTGCTTGTTTGCATGTCCGTTTTCTCTGCCAGGAAGTCAGTGATTCCACAAAAGAAACCAAACCTCCATTCCTGATTTAAGATGAGCCTACAGTAAATACTCTACCACTCTGACTACATGTGGTAGATGTCCAATACATCAAAACATGAATAAAAGTAATCCAGTCCTCAAGGAAGATCTCAAGGAGGATATGGTGGGCACAGCAAGACATTACTAAGTGCCAGGTGCGCCCGTTGCCTGCTGCCCTGACCAGGCCCACACTAAGTACTAGCCAGCAGCTGGGATTGTCTGCTTCTCCTCCTTCTCCTCTACCACACATAATTTGTGTGGTGTAGATACAGCCTTAATGAATGTGTTAACACTGCTGTTGACTGAGCACTAGCGCTGGGCTGAGGACATCCAAGCATGGGGGGTCCTCACAGCAGCCCATCCTGAGATGAGGAAGCGGAGGCTCCCGAGACAGCTCACCTAGGGTCTCTGTGCCTTACAGTGGTGGCTTTGTCCCTCCATTCTTATCCCCAGGTCAGTGACCTCATACAACTTGTGAAGGAACTGTACACAGACAACCAGCACCTGAAGAAAACCATTTTTGACCTTTCCTGCGTGAGTTTCCTGGGAAATGGGGGAGCTGACATGACAGAACAGAGAGAGGTAAGAAGAAACATTCCTGTTGTGTTGTGCTAATTGCAAAAACGTAACAACCCAAGGGCTTTCCCAAGACTGCATGTGCTCTGAGGAGGTCTCTAACTGGGAGTCCCTTTATTGGATGGGGCTTTGCAGGCCCAGGTGGGTCAGCAGATCTGTCCTCTGGATTCTCTGGCTTGGTCATTTCCGCACGGACACGTTCAGTGTACTGTGATGCTTCTGACTGAGGTCCAGCCTGGGCCCTGCTGCAGATGGCGCATCTGGGGGCTGCTGTGGGCTTCAAGGGACCTGGACAGTGGCCAGATCACCCATGTAATTTGTGTGGTGTAGATACAGCCTTAATGACTCTGTTAACACTGACAAACAGATGTCCATGTGCCCCACTGGGGATTCACCTCGATGACTTTGGGACCTGAGCCCTGATCTTCGTGATGTGTCGTCTCGAGTCTTCTCTGTTGTGAACCTGCACCGTGTGGTGGTGGTCCCTGCAGCTGTGACCATGGGGAGGATTACATTGTATCATCACTTTAGCCCCTCACTTTGCCTAACTCACCCCTAAGAAGAACCTTTTTCTGTGCATTAGCGCTATTTTAGAAGACTGGAACTCTGCTCGCTCGCTTGGTGCAGAAGGTTCGTTTTGTCCTCTCATGAACAAACTAGGCATCTTCTTGCTTGGGCTTGTCCTGAACTCAGTCTGGAGTGCTAGGTGAATGCAGCTCTCACGCTTATCGCCACATCGTTTCTTGAAAAAGATTTGTCAGCCTTAAGCTGTCTCCTCCCACCTTCAGAGAAAGAATGGCTCAAAGGTATTTATGCTGTTCTCTGGCCATCTGCTCTCTTTTGAGACAGGGAATATTATTGATCTTAGCCTCCAGGGCTCCAGATAATTTTGAAAACCAAGAGTAACTGCAAGCCATTTAGGGAGAAACAAGTCTCCTGGTTCGCTTTCTCCGAGGCAGTATTTTTAATAAGCAGCTTGTTCTTCACTGACTCCATTTGAGTCGTAAATGGTGAGCTTTGTTTGTTCATTTGCCCTTTGAAGAAAATCTGTTAAATGTCCCATTATGTCATTTGGAGAACAGTGGCTTTTTCTTCTGCCCACTCTCAGATCTTAATACCAGCCAATTCAGATTTGAGTCACTTGTCAGATTGCACTTCCATTGCATGCCCCCCGGGAATAGCCTTGCCCTTGTAGCAGCTCCTCGTCTTTCCCCCAGAGTGGGACAGGGAGGTCTGCGTGGGCAGAAAGATGTGCCCACTGTAATCTAAAGCTTAGGGAGGCGAGGCCGTCAGGGTAGGGGGAGGGAGCGCAGGGAGGGGGTCTGCTCTTCTCCAGGAGGGCGTGTGGGCCCCCTTCCACAAGAAGCAGGCCGAAGACAGCCCAAAATACTCATGTTGTCCATAGCATTTCTGAGCAGCAGGACTGGCAGAGTGGGGGCTGGGCGTGATTCCTGCTCACTAGGAGAATATAAATCACAGGAAGGGAGAGACAGGGAGAATATGAATGAGAACATAGTTTGTGTTTTCAAAAAACAGAGCAAAGAAATGGCCCCTAGTTCTGTCACTTTAAAGCAGGCACAGTTAGCGTTTTGGCCTTGGTCCCTCCATGCCTGTGTGTGTGCGCACATTGCACACCGTAATGCAGATTTTATTCTGTGTTTTTCCAGCTGCTTCTGACTGATAGCATCTGCCTCCATCTTACGAATGTGCTAGAATTTAACGCCTCGCCCTCATTGGACAAGTAGATTGTTTCAAGCGATTTGCTGTTATGAAATATATACTTAAAGTGTCTGTATGTAAATCATTTTTGTATGTGTAAGGTTTTCTTTCTTAGACTATATTCTCAGATATATAATTAGAAGATCAAAGGGCAGATAGAAATATTCAGTAAGCAGAGAATTTATTTTTATACACCCACCCCAACAACTTTCAATTTGAAAAAGTGCGTAAAAGTCTTCAGGCCCCTGGCAGGGCTTGTCAGGTTTGCCTTCAGGATGGCTGTCCAAGCGTGGAAGCCCCGCCGGGGGCCGTGGTGTGCGCTCCCTGTTCCCTCTAGGCTGGCACCACCACACAGATCAGCCCAGGGCCAGCCATTCTTTTGTTTTAGTGTGCATTTGAAGACCTCTTATAAGATGCCTCCTATTTTCTTACATGTGCATGTATGTATTTGATTAATCCCAGGGTCTTCTCACTGAGCTTTGTCCTCACCTCTTTTTAATTTTTCATTCTGAACCAGCGTCTGCTCAGTTGCCTAGGGTGCGCTTGACCCTGTGATCCTCCTGTGTCAGCCTCCCAGAGTATGGGATTACAGGCACATGCCACCATGACCCACTTATGTTTCTTTATTGGTTATTAAGTGATGTTCTAGAAGAAGTCGGTTGAGATTAGCCACACGGGAGTGGTGGCAGAGGGCTACAGCCAGGATGGTGAGCATTGAAAACCTCAAGCCACACAACACGTGGACTTCATATGTGGGCGCTGGGAAGTGTGGCACATTGCGGGCGCCCAGCGGGGTCAGTCGTTATTTGGGTCACTGTATTGTCATCATTGGGCATGGTTAGAAAACCTGTTCTTTGGCATGGAGAGAAAGCTTGACTAGATGAGCATAATTTAATTGAGCTCAGCTATTTGTAGGCCTGTCATGTTGAACAAGAAATAGACCTTGTGTGACTCTAAAGGACAGAAATGGTACTCCAAAGTAGAAAGTGCTTATTAAATGTTCTATTAAGAGTAACAGGATAATATTTGGTTTGTCAGAGTAGATTTAATTTCATTAAAAGGAGGAATATTCTAACAGTCCAACTTTAGAACTTCTTTTGAACTAGACTTAAAAGACCTTGGCACAGTGCTGGCATGTAGTAGACACTTAGGAAAACACAGCTATTTTCACTTTATTTATTTTTGAATTAGTGGCTGAGTTGGAATCCTAACCCTTTTCTGGCTCTGTTCAGAGATGTCCTAACACGTATGTGGCTCTCCTGAGGACCTTGTTAAAATGCAGGTTCTGCTTCCATCAGTCTGACATGGGATGCAAGAACCCATATTTCTGAGAAGTTCTGTTGCTCTGAGGAATACATTCTCAGTAGCAAGAGCTGAGGTAATCCCAAAGGCCATTTGGTTCTAGGTCTCATTTTGCAGAAGTCTTTACTTACGCAGTTGATCTTTTAGCAGTGTTTTATTGAGCACCAGGCTGTATGTCATATGGAACTGAGAAACAGGGCCCGTTGCCCCGGTGGTGTTGCTGGAGGATTGCAGAGCCCTAGGGAGCCTGGAGGCAGGAGTCAGCACTGCTGCCGGGGGGAGCGAGGGAAGGAAAGTGTCAGAAGGAGAATCAGGAGACAGGTGGGTCATTGTGTGGCCGCTGCCGCCACCGCCGCCACCATCTTCGTTGATGTCGTCGTCGTCTTCTTCCTCCTTCTCTTCCTCCTCCTCTTCCTCTTCCTCCTTTTCTTCCTCTTCTTCCTCCCTCCTTCTTCCTCCTCCCTCTTCCTCCCTCCTCCTCCTCCTCTTCCTCCTCCACCATTTTTTTTTTTTTTTTTTTTTTTTTTTTTTTTTTTTTTTTGAGACAGAGTCTTTCCATGACTCAGGCTGGTCTTGGGTTCACTTTGTAGCCCAGGCTGGTCTCACACAGTGATCCTCCTGTCTCAGCCTCATGAGTGCTAGGATTACAGGCATACCACCACACCCAGCTTGATGTGGTGTTTTGAGGAAGGTATGTTAAATACTGTCAAGTTCTCTGAGAAGGCAAGAAAGAAAAAGCAAGTGAGGCACATGACCGAGGCAGTTTCCTGAGGGTGAGAGGAGCCAGCTTGCAGTAGCTGGAGGAGGGAAGAGGAGCAGGGAGAGGGAGATAGAGCTGGTACACTCTGGGAGCTGTCAGGAACCTCTCTCTGGCTGGTGGCAGGGTTGAAGCAGAGCCTGGGTACAGTGACTCAGAGTGTATTCTGACATTTTGTCCTTTGTCTTTGAAAACTGCTAAGTCTTCAATGTCCCACTGATACCAGGGACATTTCCCTGTGTCCATACATTGCATTCTTGATGATTGCTGGAAAGTGAGAGCTTACTTTTCACTGAGTCAGCAGAGGTGGAGAGCAACCTTCGGGTTACTGTGTCCTGAGGAATGGCAGGATTGTGAGTGTGGACGGGCACTTGGAACTCTCAGCTGGAGTGACACATATTAATGGCAATTTGCCCAGCTACACCGAGGTGAGCTTTTCTCCTGTCCACAGGAAGTACCAAGGACTTCTCTGTTCCTCCTCCTTGATCCCTCTGGGGTTTTACTCCTGTGCTAGAGGTATTTGGGGGCCTGGCATGGGTAGTTTCTGGACAGTGGTGGCAGGAGAGCCTCAGTGCAGAAAGTGAGAGGTGACCCTTCTCCAGAAGCAGGTCAGTGGCTCCAGTGCAGCATCATGCCATCTTACCTTTTTGAAAAAGTAAATTTATTTTTAGCTGATTTATAAGAACACTGCAATTATAAACCTCAAGGGGAATTCCTGTGATATGTCTGTTCATGTGTATGCTATGAAATGTTTAGATTAGGCTGCACATACCTGTCTGCTCAAACATTCCTCATTCTTTTCTAGTGAGAAGTCAAAAATCCTACTATGAAACTTGCCACATGCTGTCATCCAGGTCACAGCTCTGAGCACGAGAACTCCCAAACTTCCTCCTTCTGTCCGACTACTGACTCCCCACTGGGCGCCTGCCCCATTCGCTCCTATGACTCCCCCCATAATCACATTCTTCTCACAAGTTCCAGGACATCAACCTTTTACACTGCATTATGGAATGAGATTGTGAGACACTTGAGTCCCCACCTAGATTCTGTTCACAGTTTCATATAGCCATCATCACTTTTTTAAAAAAAAATGTATTTAGTACAGAGTCTACAGGGTCTCACTACAGATCAGACTCATAGTGATCTCCCCTTTTCAGCCTCCTAAAGGCTGGGATTACAGGGGTGCACCACCATGCCCTGTCTCAGTCAACATCTCAGCGCACCCCCGGGCAGGGCCAGCTCGGCACATCATCACTTTTTTGATGAATTTCAATTAAAATTATAAATGCCAGAATATTTTCCCTAAATACTTCAGCATGTATATCTTTAACTTCAATATGTTTACAGTTATCTTTTTTTACTTATTTATTTATTTATTTGGTACAGGGTCCCACTATGCAGCTCAGACTCATAGTGATCCTCAGCCTATCTCAGCCTCCCCAGTGCTGGGATTACAGGTATGTGCCACTGTGCCTGGTTTTGGTGGCTGGCTAGATGTTGGGCCACTGAGGTATCTCCCCAGCATTACAGAGATGATAAGCCAATATTGCCTGATGTTTACAAGTATATGTAAGGATCTGTGATTGAGATCCCTATCAAGATTCCTTATGTCCCTTCTTGTCAACCTGACCCCCACATATTTCAGCTGCTTCTATGATTTTGTCCCATCATGGATTAATTTTTCCTGTGCTCTGGCAGATCGTCATATAAACAGAATCATATGCTATGTTCTCTTTCATGTGAACTTTTTTCACTCAGCGCGTTTTTGAGATTCATCCTTGTCATTATGTAAATCAACAGTTTGTTCCTCCTTGTTGTCCCATTCTATGAATCTATTGATTCCTTCACTCTGTGGGTAAAGGGTGATAAGAACATTCTTTGTGTGGTCGCATACTTTTTTTGCTCGTGGTGAATGCCTGATACTCACTTTTGTAGCCTCCAGACTGGTCTTGAACTCGTAGGGACCCTCCTGTCTCAACCTCCTGAGTGCTAGGATTACAGGCATGTGCCACCATGCCCATTTCCTAGGATGTGGGTTTTGATCACCAGTGTTCCTTGATCCTGATCACAGATTTGGATGTGGGTAGGAAGAATGTGCTCCAGCCCTGAGAATTTTCTGGAAAATGACATTCTAAAGTCATTTTTTTATAAAGACATTCTTTTTTTTTCTTCTAAAATAAGGTTTTTTCTCTGAGCAGATTTGAATTTAAGTTGGGCTGGGTTAGTTATAGGCATAATGGACTAACCATAGGACTTCATGAAATGAAACGGTTGGAATAGAGCCCTCAAGCGCCTACACGTGGAGCTGTCTGATGCATGGCCTGGCACTCTGGTGTTAACACCTTTGGTACAGGGTCAGTGACTTCTCAGTGAGAGAGCTTTGCTGGACCCGGTGCATTTGACACCCTGGCTCTCAGTTTCCTTCAGTTATGCAGCTGTTCCATGACAAGAATGTTTGCTCTTCTGGTGCACTGGGGTCTGGCTTTCTTGAGAACTTCATGCTGTCTATTCTTCTGAATGCAGAATACAGAAGCCTTGACATTTATACTTCTTTAAAGTGTTAGATTTATGCAGTCTTTATAAATAACTGTCCTTTATTTCCAAAAGCATAAAGTTACCATCAGACAAACTCAATACTCTTTTCATTAATGATGAGGACTTTTTGTCAGCAAAATGACAGTGTTGCTGGGACTGTCCATCTCAGATGTCTGACAGGCTGACAAGAGGTTTACGCCCTGTGTTAAATAGGAGAAGTGATGCATAAATTGGGCACACCATAAATTTCACTTGCTGCTATTTTTTTTTTTTTTTTTTTTGCTATTTGGTATTTTCAGTTCCATCAATAACTGTTTTCCAAAATCTTTTTGTTTTTTATCTAATCTGAAAGTGGATTTAGCAGGGGCAACAGCACAACAGATAGCCTGGTCAGTGTCCAGCAGTGGAGAAAGACCGTACGAAGGCACAAGAGATGCCTTGCCTTATTTCTTGGGCAATCTGACCTTATATATTACTTGATCCTGGGTAGCTGTGTGTGATTTGCCAGAGTGAGCAACTCTTAACTTTGGCTAATTTTTATTTCATGGCTTTGGCATTTGTTCCTGCCTCTTTTTTGGTTTTTGTTTGTTCTGCATCTTTAAAAAACAACATCAGTGACTTATTCATACATATTCATGCTGCACTTTGTCTTGGGTTGCATTTTTACATCATTCCATGCTCCATGTAGCTTCTGCCTAGCAAGGAGGATGAGGACACTATCAAAGTTGAAGAGGATGACGGGAATAATTTCCAAAGTGATCAGCATTTGGAGCCAAGTAATAAGGTAGGAACATGACAGTTCATTCCTTATTCTATGCACATCTCTCTTCCGGAGCCAGCCTTTGGTTTGGAGTGTATCCACTATGTTTCCTGTTCCTCACCTGTGTTGACTGCCTGCTTATGCCAGGCTCTTTGCTATGGGAAGTCACAGACTGGATGAATGGAGCCAGTCATGAAATACGGGAACAGACATATTGCAATAAACAGAATAGAATGATTGGGATTGGGTGTTGGACCTGGATAGATGTTTAGAGATGTAAATCAGTCTTTTTTTTTTTTTTTTTTTTTTTCACAGAACCAGGGATTGAACTCAGGCCCTTGTGTTTGCCAGGCAAGCACTTATTCTACTGAGCTATATCCCCAGCCCCTAGCCTATTTGTTTTAATGTTTGGAAACTGAGGCCTTTGAAGGGAGATGATGGGTTTGGGACACAGTGAAACTTACATCTAGGTAGCCAAGAACTCCCAGATCACTTGAATGCAGTATAAGGGGACATGAATGGAAGTAAGTGCCCTTCTCAGTCTCCTACTGTTTTCTGGGTATGGTGAGAATTTGGCCCCGTCCCATCGAATGTTCTTCCTGTCACAAAGCTACTGATCAGTTGGGATATATGGTCCCCAGGTTGGAAACATCCTGCAGACTGAGCTGTCATTTTCAGTCTTTGCAGTGTCCAGGTCTGTGGTGTCATGAATAGGAGATACTGCGATAGATAGCTTCAGAGAGCAGAGCACCTGGCAGCAGAGGCTTAGGACTCAGACAGGCCTGATAGTGAGTCCTGGGCATGGCACTGCGCTCTCTGGTGATTTTATTTAGCCCTTGCTTAGCCTCTAAGCCCGAGTTGGCCCATCAGGGAGAATAGTGGTACTTCCATTACGGTTATTGTGCTGCTTAAGAGAAAGTCATGTAATAAGCACTCAGTAAATGATAATAATTACTATTTGTATTATTCCATACTAGACTTTCCCATTTCTGGGGTTGCTTGTTTGATGGATTTAATAAGTAGATTGGTGGCAAATAACACCTATAAATAACAGCTTATTGTGTGGGTCTTGTCTTCCATTTAAAAAAGTCTTAGTCATTCTTCCAGTGTGGAAAGATGAGGGTTATGGCTAGAGTGTATATCACCAGCAGCAATGAAGTCAAGAGGCGTTATTTATAGACTGGTAGAAGAAATTTATGGCTTGGGTAGGGGAGAAAGAATACTAATTGCGGCACCAGCAGACGTGCCCAGAACAGGCTCTAACTGCATGCTTCCTGGGTGCCACTCTTCTGGGACCCTCAGTGACCCAGGAAAGTGTAACTGTAGATAACATCTCCATAGGGATTAGGAACTCTCCACCTTCCTAATGAGACACTTCAAAGCCATGTTAATTAACATGTGTCTGTGGAGAGCGAATTGGCTTTCTGGTACAGGCAAGAAGTATATAATAAATATTCAAAGCACTGTTGATGATGTGGATTTCAAGCCCTCCTCAGGAAGAACTTTTAGAGAGATAACTATTGAGGGGATCACATGTCCATTGTGTACGTGTAGGGATAAGACACATTCACTTCATTTTATCCTTCAGCCCACTTTGGGAGGTAGCATTGCTGTTCTTGTTTTATAGATGAGGAAAGTGAGGGTGCCTTGAGGTGAGTGTGTGTGGCCCTACATACCTGTGTCCCTCTTTTTCTTTCCCTCTTCCCTTTCATTTTCTTTCTGCTTATTTGTGCTCACTTGCCCTGCATTTCTGTCCCTTTCCTCTCTTCCAAGTACTCCTTTCTCGTCTTTCATGTCTCGGTATCTGATCAAGTACTTCTGCTTATAGGTTATGGAAGACTGTGCCCAAGGAGGCTGTAAAAATGGATACTTCAGGCCCACGGATTCCAGTATTTTAGACTATGATGGGGCTGATAAGACTGGTTGCCTTGGAGACGGGAACCTAGAAGGTGTCAAGCTCTTGGGCCTACTTGCCCCTTTCTTCAGTGAGAGAGCCATGCTGTCGCTGGAGTCCAGGTAGGTGTGGGGCCAGGCGTGGCTTTGTCCCTTTGGCTTGAGGGGAGAGAGTACTCACTCTGCTAAATGGATTTAGGTGGGGATGCTGCACAGTATACCTGAGAGAGCTCCCAAAGTGGCTCGGAAGGAATCTTGCCAGTCGTGCAATTAGGTAATTAGGTTGTGCACTGGTGGCTGAGGGGCTTTTGCATGGCCTTGTGCAGACCCATTAGAAAGAAGCGAAAGAAAGCTTTCCTTGAGAATTATTCCTGGGAGCCCCAGAAATGGCTGCTTGGCTGTTGGCGAGAGAAATCAGCCCTGCTGGAATCTCCTCCGGTTGCTACAACAGCCTACAACACACTACTGTAGAGTGACTCTGCTGTTTTATGTTGAGCTTGAACTAAAATTCTCTTCTCATTCTATCTGCTGGGAGTCATTCCTATGTGAGGAAATACTATAGGTTGTTTTCCTTGAAACAGAAAAAGGAGAAGCATCCAGTATACTTCTGTCTTTTAAATTAAGCCTTTATGAGCAATTTGCCCTTTCGTATTCCTCCTGGTTCATCCATGACTGCTGCTTTGCCTTGGAATCAGGAAGAACTTTGTTCTCATCTCTCAGTGTTTCAGTTTCTCTGATCACTTCACATGGTTGCTGTGAAGAGTAGAAAAAAAAAATTTTTAAGGAAAATGAATGGCATGCTTCCTGGCTCAGTGGAAGCTTTCAATTCTTTTCTGTACCGAACCACTGCCCAAGACCCTTGGCAAGAGCCAGGCGTTGTAGTGTTTCTTATGTCACTGCTGGGCTAAGACTTAAGACCATCGTTGGGCATTTCTTCATGAGAGAAAAGATCTGAGCCATTCTGTTTTTGTCTCAGTTGGGGTGACTATTCCTAGTCATTGATGGCGACACTTTTAAAGCACGAGTTGTATTCTGGTTGTTATCCCAGGGAATTTGGTGAGCATAGTTGGGCATGTGGAAGCAGAGGGTTTCTTACACATCAGGGTTGTAAACTTGGCTTCAGAATAAGAGGACAACCACCATTCCTCTGAGGACCTCATAGGAATGCCCTTGAGAGGTGTGAGCTGGAAAAGCACCGTGCGCTGCTGTGGCAGCAGGGCGAGGGGTCCCTCCTGGTGGGCAGGAGCTCCTCAGTCCAGCCAGCCAGTCATCGGGCAGGCATGTGGGTTCTGGTCTTCTGTCTCCCACCCTTGTATTCTAAACCTCTTGATTTTTAAGACTTTACATCAATTTACATTTTTCAAGGAAGAAGGAAGCACCTCCTAGGCCAGCACTGTGAGCAGACTGTTGGTGTCTCATGTTCAGCTCTCTCTGGGGTCCCCTTGTAGGCGCCTGTTCTGTAGGCTTTGAGGCTGTTTCTGGCCCCAGACTGTGGCCTTAGCCCTGGTTTTTGTGCCTGTGTGCCCCATGGTGATGGAGTTCAGACTCCTACAGAAGGCCTGGCCGGCATACATGCTGGAGCACCAGCTCTGGTGGGGCATGTCCCTTGGCTGGTCTCATCTCATGAAATAAAAAGCTTTATAGGCTTTTGCAGGTGATCTTCTTGGTCACTCAGCATTCCCTTGGCTAGCTAGTGGTAGGACCATTGGAGAATTTTCTATCAGAAATAATATTCTTGTTGGTTGGGGAAATACCATTTATGTGTCCATTCCTTCTGGAGGTATGTATGTGGAGTGTTTTCCTTGCCCTGGAAAAAGCGGGGTTTGGAGTGAGGCAGACTGAGCTCCTGTTAACTGTACTTTTAGGTCTTGTGCCATCTCTGCCCATCTTTGTGTCTTCATCTGTGAAGGAGGCTGGGTAGCGTAATGATGATTGCTTATCACATAGGGATCTTAACAGGGTTAAATGAAATAATAGATATATAGAGTCAGGTGAGCACTAAGCGAGGTTTTGGCAATATTACTCTGTAAATCATGTCCCTCCAATTATTCCTACCCTTTCCTACTAACCCTGGGTAAGATTCTTGCAGCAGCCAGCCAGGAACGTGTGCCGCTGTATTCATGTGTGAGCCAGTGTCTGTGGACCCCAGTGCACAGGTGCGATGGGCTCAGGCCTAAGCTCTCTCAGTCTTTGAGCTCCTCTGCCTTCCAGCCATCTACCTGAGACTCCAGGGGCAGCACAGTGGTAGGCCCCAGAGTAACCCTGATGCAGTGAGCCTGTCTGCTGATATGGACTAGGAAGCAGCTTTCCTGCTTGTTCCATTGGTCTAACTTGCCTCTTTCTACCTGGTTGAAGGTGAGTTCAGCATGGCCACTTGGAGAATGGGCTGGCACGTCCTCCTTGGCATTCACTGCATGTGGGAGGCCCAGTCCTTGCTTCGCATGCTTCTGGCTCATTTGGCCCCTACTCCCTCGAGAACATAGTTTATGATTTTATCACCTTAAGTTTTTGGTGTTTGTAGCCTAAAATTAGGTGTGATATTTCATAGCTAAGAAATTATGCAAATATAAAAGGGAACATTTTGGGGGATGATACACTCATTTAAGCATTTATTTATTTTTAAATTA